TCAACAAGGAGACCGCGAACCTGGTCTGGGAAGATGTCTTTCAGCACGGGCTGCCGTATATCATAGGGGGGGACTTCCACATGTCCCCGAGCCTCTTCATGGATGGGCCGGCCCCCATTGGCTCCAGTGGGAGGTGTCATCAGAGCGCCAGAGGTCCCCACATATGTGGCCCCAGGGAGTGCCACTACCATCGGCTTCTTTGTCGCTCAGAAACGCTGTGCCCTGGGCGAAGACCGACATCAGCGCCCCCTTCAGCCCTCATCGACCTGTTAGGCTTCGGGTCCGTCAGGCCACCAAAAACATCGACGAGCAGGTCCCCAAGGGCTACCTCAAGGGCCCTACCTGCCAAACCACAGGACCCATTACCTCCAGGAGGCGACTTTCCTGATCTTGAAGCTGCGTTGCGGGATTTTCTCGAACCTAGGTTACAAGAAGGCGTCTCGACGATGGCGACAGGGGCTGACAAGGTCCGTGGCGTTGAGCTTCTGAACGGAGTTTATAGCTCCTGGCTACCCAAGGCGTGAGGCGAGGTCATTGCTGCCACGCAAGCCAAGGGTTCTGGGCTCCCTGGAGGCACACCGCTTCAGTTTCAGTCTGTCGGGATTTCGGAGGTCTTGGCCACAAAGAAGAGAACATCAGCATTTCCAGGCAGGACTATTCAGTGGGTGCATTTGCGAGCCAAATGGTTACGAGCTTTGCTTCAGAAGCCGACTGACCAGGTCCACTATCGAACCCCACTACTTGAGCAGTGGAGGCAACTTCCTTCCAAAGGAGGAACTTTCAGACGGTTCTGGAAGCAGGGTGGCGAGCAGTGGCACCCGCTCTTGGCCTCCTTCGCTAGCAGCCTGCTGATTCAGCAGGATTCCGTGATCGCAGCCACCTTTGTTGATAAGCTGATTGGGTTTGTGGAACCTTGGGTCCATCTTGGGCAGTTGGAAGACCGCACTCGTGCGCGTGAATCCTGAAGGCCTGGCGTGGAGAAGCCATCAACGTTTTGCTCATCTTTGGGCAGGTGACCCTGCGCATGAAGAAATTGCCCCTGCTGCTGGCAGCTGCTCGGGCCCAGTCCCTGCTGGGCTTCCGGGCAGAAGTCGACACCCGGCCCAAGGCACGGCAGGCCTCCGAGGAGCCGGTGGAGCACGCGCCCTTCCAGACCCCCGAGGCCCCGATCCAGGTGCCAGGACCAGTGCCAGGAGCACGACTTCGCCACATCAGGACCAGGTTTCCTCCGTTCACGTGCTGCCCAGGCGGCCTGCGCCCCTGGCACTGGGCGTCTGGCGGGAGGGGGGATCTCGCTCCCTGGCCCGCGGCCTGGGCCCTACGCTCCGCCGTTCCGCGCGACGTCCCTCTCTCCCCACCCCCCTCATTGGATTTGTCGACCTAATGAAAAGCTTCCCCCTAACCCCCCTCCTTGGTGGAGGCCACGGAGGGTCTCCGCGCTGCCTTGCCTGTCGCGGGTCTACCACCTCATGGATGTGGTGGGAGAAGGGCCCGATATGGGGCCAGAGTCTGGTCGTCTTCCTCATGGGGCGCCCATACAAAGGACGTCGACCGATGGGGCACCACAATGCGTTCGAGCGTTTACACGGGAAAACTCATCGTGCGGCGTGCCGATCCTGGGAGGCCCAGCTGGGCCTAGGACCCAAGTTCAGCATGGGGCAAGGACGTTCCAGCCTGGACATGGTCTGGAGACAGTCAGTGGCCTCCGAGAGGGCCTCAGGGGAGAAGGTTTGCTGGGCTAGCATCCTGTGGGACCTAGTGCAGTTGTATGAGCCCGTAGGCCACGGGGAGCTTGTTAGGCAGGGCGTCATCAGCGCCTTCCCGTTGCATGTGCTCCTGTATACACTTGCCCACATGCAGGTGGAAGCGCTGCCCGTTGCTTGACGGGGCGTACTCGTCGGCGCTAGACCCGTCCAGAGGAATAGTTGCAGGCGGCACGTCGGCTACAGATGAAGCGAAAGCGTTTGTGCGAAGACGATCGAGCAGGGCAGGTGGTTTCCTGAAACCAGCCAGGGGCTTCACGTTGATGACTTTTCGCTTCACAGCTGGAGCACCAGCATGCACGAGTGTGCCGCTCAGTTGAAGGCGTTGGCCAAGAATTTGGCCTACCAGATCTCCACCACTTTTTGAGCGCCGCTGGCCGTGCGCAAGATGCATGCCGCTGCCAATAGCAAGAGCTTGCTGGATAAGGTCAAGAACGATCTAGGATTTCTCTCGGGTGCGACATCGTGGGCCCCTGGGAACCTTGGAATGACCTTCGAATGATCCGTCAAAAACGGGTGGCCAAATGTCTTCATCGTCGACGGCGTTGTGGGACCCGCAAGTTGCCCCGTAAAATCAAGGCCAGCTTGTTCAAGAGCGGGATCCTCACTACCATTTCCTATGGCATGGAGGTCTAGGGGGTTGCACCGTCAGAGATCCTACATGTACGTAGAGCTGCAGCTAGGGCCTCGGGAATGTCCAAGAAAGGTTGCGTGTTGGAGCTCCAGTGGGCCATTCACAAGTAGAAAGGGGACCCTTTGTATCTCGCCGCAGGCCCACTCAAGAGGTACGCTTGGGAGTGGTGGCATACCAGTGAACCTTCATCGAGAGGTCGTCCGAGACATCAAGATGTGCTGAGCACGGGCGATTTGAGTACGTGTTTTAGTTCAGAGGTGACGACCCTATCCCAAACCGAGCGGAAGCCGTGGTTGTATCGGACCCGCGGGCCTGTGTCGGCCATGCCCCTTGTGGCTGGAAGCTGGCGGACGGCATTGGGAGGGGCCAGCCACCTTCGTGGCTAGGAATGGTTCCCGTTGGATCTAAACTGAGCGGCCCCCTGCTCAAATTGCGGAGGCCTATGCATGTGATCCGCGGCACAGCACGTTACAGAAAGTTATACCTCGAGCTATTAAGGACACTCCTGGGGGGGTACATTCGAGGGGCGTATGGATACCCCTCTTTCAGAGAGTTGCCAGAGCCCTACCTCCCGAATGTTTACATGTGTACTGCCAAGTTTTGTCGGGCACGGCCCCCACAGGCGCAGCCCTCACCTCTTGGGGATATAGCGTCGACGAGCGATGTCCCCTTTGCAGACGATGCCGAGGCACGCTATGGCATCGCTGCTGGGAGTGCGATCGCACTAGCGTGGTGCAAGTGTGTTCGGAGCACGTCGGTCAAGAGTTTCTGGACCGGGTCCGAGAGGCGAACCGTTCGTCTTGCTTGTTGTCCAGGTTGTGGGTCCCGTTTCCCGATGCGCCTTGCCCTGCCAACGACTGGGTGATAATCTTTGTCGGGAGTGACGGGGCCCCAGTGCCAGAATTCCAGCTCGGTATTAAGGATGACCTGTACTCCGTCGGGTCATGTATGAATGGCGAGAAGCCGGAGGCTTCGAGAACAGGCGTCTCACAGTCGTTCACCTGAGAGACGGCCTCATAATTCGAGGTGTGCACAGACCGCTTCCAGCGGAGGCTCTGCAGGCTGCCAGTGGCGCGGAGCACGGGGCCCCTGCGCTGGCCTAGCTTCGGAGGAAGGAAGCCTCCGATGTGGAACCCGGGCCAGGCCAGTGGCGGTCGACTGTGCGGCGCTCCTAGTTTTGGGACGAGGGATCCCCCCAGAGCCTCTGGAGCTGACTACCTACCAGACCACCCCAACCCAACCCGAAGGCACGAATTTGACCCGAATTCCGGGTGGGGGGGATACGGGGACCATGTGTTTTTTCCAATGTTCCCCGATCCCCCCCCACTGGAAATGGAGGGCAAATCGAGGCCTTCGGGTTGGGTTGGGGTGGTTTTGGTGGGTGGTGAGGAGCCTCCAGGCTGTCCTCTTTTTCTGGCGTGAAATCTCTAGGGAGTTAGTGTCGGGCCCGTGGGCGTCCCTGAAAAAACTAAAAAGCCCACAGGTCCCTGGACGACGCACGAGATGCAGACGACCAAGCGGACATAGTAGGGTCAGACTGCGCCGATCGCTTGGCTGAAGCTGGTGCCCAGTGCCACAATTTGAACCCCCAGGAGTTGTCCGATTTCGAGCGTGCTGACGCTGAATGTTTGCGTTTAGCCCTCGGGATGGTATCGGTCCTGGGAGTTCAAACGTCTACCGAATCGTTCCATGGCAAAATCTCGCGGCCTGCGAGGGCCAGGGTCCAAAAACCTGCTGGGCACAGCATCAACCTGTCCCCCATGGGTCGGGAATGAGATGCCAGAACTGTTTGAGGACTGTCACGGCTAGATGTCGGTTCCAGTGCGATGGCCCCAATGCGTCTGTAGCTGCTCTCCTCCGAGGGCAAGGGGGCAGTGGCCACGTGTTGCACTGGGCACGACTCGAGACTCGAGCCGACTACTGCCACTGCGGACTTTCCAGTTGTTTTGTGTACTGAGTGTGGAGGGTTTGCCAGTGTGAGAGCTGGCAAGCTTCTCCTCGATCGCTGCCAGCCCCCCAAGAAGAGTGCTGAGCGTTCGAAGCTCATCAGGGGGCTGCTCCCAGGGACCTCTCACAGGTTGGGCCAATCCTTTCCCCTCTCGACCTGTCCGTGGCTCTTCCACGCCTCCCAGGTTGGCCCAGTCCCGAGGTCCCTGCCCCTCCGCCGCCGGATCACTTGCTGGAGCAGCAGGTAAGCGCGGCGTTGCACCGCGAGGAGGACGAGGCTCCCCTCCTACCGCCAATAGGTGCCCGCAGTCAGCCGGACGATTCCGACCGACCTTCTTCCTGCGCCGGTTGATCCTGGCTTGACTCGGCGCGCCTTGGCCTTTGAGGTCTTTGAGGAGGAGGGCAGGAGGAGGAGGGCAGGAGGAGGGCAGGAGGAGGAGGAGGAGGAGGAGGGCAGGAGGAGGAGGCCAGGAGGAGGAGGCCAGGAGGAGGAGGAGGAAGAGGAGGAGGAGGAGGAGGAGGAGGAGGGCAGGAGGAGGCCAGGAGGAGGAGGAGGAGGAGGAGGAGGAGCAGCAGCAGCAGCAGCAGCAGGAGGGAGGAGGATAGGCAGGCCCCTGCACTGGACGCCCGCGGGCGCAGGAGGCGCGCGCGCGCGCCTGGCGCAGAAGCCGCGGCTGGCCCGCGCGGCCTCCCGGAGCGCCGCCGTGGGCAGGGGCTCGCCCGAGCGGCTCCCGGCGCCCTCCTCCGGCCACCGCCGCCAAGGCCCCCACGGCCCACGGCTCGGGGGCTGCGAGGGGTGCCCCCGCCCCGAGGTGCGACGAGGAGGAGGAGGAGGAGGAGGAGGAGGAGGAGGAGGAGGAGGAGGAGAAGGAGGAGGAGGAGGAGGAGGAGGAGGGGAGAAGGCGCAGGAGGAGGAGGACGAGGAGGAGGAGGACGTCTGTGGCTGGACCATTGATCGCTGGCGCTCCATTCTGAAGCCCCCAGCTCTTCGCTCCATGTTGAAGCCCCTGACCCAAGGTGCCCCTGGCCCAAGGTGCCCCCGACCCGAGGGTGCCCCCAGCTCTTCGCTCCACGCTGAGGCCCCCAGTTTGCCCTCCGGGCCTCGCGAGGGGCGCTCTCTGGAGGCCGCGGGGCCCTCCTTGGAAGCCCTGGGAACACCTCGGGCCAGCGGCGCTTCTGGCAGCCCCCGAACGGCTCGGGCGTTGCTGGAGTCGGCGGCAAGCGAGGGGGGGAAGTGAGGAGGAGGAGGCCCTCTCAGAAGGCGGCGGAGCCATTCAGAAGCCCTCGGGGCCGCCTCAAAGGTTTTCGGCGCCTTCGGGGAGGGCCCAGAGGAAGTTCTCCGAGGGCCGAGGGTCTGCCGAGCCTTCCGAGAGGGCCCTCGCCTCCTCGCTCCCCCCCGGGCGCGCCGCCGCTGGAAGTGCCCCTGGCCCAAGGTGCCCCCAGGATACTCCAGATTTCGTAATAAAGGGAGGGGGGTCTCATTTCGGGGGGGTCTCTTCCAGGCTATCTTGGAGGGCCTGGGGGGTCTGGGGACGATGTTTTGGAGGGTTCTCCCACGGGGGAGGTCTGAAATGGCTTGTCTTGGAGGGTCCAGACCCCCTCCCTTTTATTACGAAATCTGGAGTATCCATGGAGGCCCCCACGGCTGCCAGAGCACCCCTCATACGGCCGAGGGCCCCCGGGAATCCAAGACCGGGCGCGAAGCGGGGGGGGGCACCTCGGGCCAGGGGCACCTTCGGCAGCCCCCGAGCGGCTGCCGGAGCCATGCCCTGGATCCATGGCCCACGGGGAGAGAATCGTTTCGCCGATCCCTATCCCCACCGGCGTGATTCTTGTTGGGGGGGGGGGGGGCAGTGTCTGCTGATGTTGTGGTACTTCTCTGAGAAGGCGGGCATCCCCACTGGCGCGGTCTTGGCCCCACTGGCCCACTTTACCCACCCTTGGCTGCGAGAACATGCACATGGTCCGTCGGGTTCCGCGGCGCCCGGAAGTCACACCTGGGAGGACGGGCTGGCGGGGCCGAGACACCCTGGCCCGGTGGGGATGCGAACAAGTCAGACGATGCGGGTGGGAAGCGGTGCGAATGGACGCGTGCCCCGCCCGCAGGAGCAGGCGGGGCAGTGCCGTGGGAGGCGGTGCACCGGGACCCCCTCGCATCGTGGGGCAAATCACGACGGAAGGTCTTCGGCCGCCTGCGGCCCCTGGGGGCCCTCACCAGGCCCTGGGACCCTCAAGGAGCAGCTCGGGGGTGAGAAACCGGTCCCGAGGAAGGGGCGGGGACCTGGGGAGCCACGTAAAGATCATGACGCGTCGGGGGTCTGGGACCACCCCGTCCTGGGGAGGCCCCTCGAGATCCCGGGGGCACGGCTCCAGAGCGGTGGGCGTGGACGGATTCTGGCGGAGGGCCTCCTCCTTCGCCTCCACCTCCTCGCCCTCGTGCTCCTGCTCGTCCTCCCGGCTGCGGCAGGAAGCGCGGCTCGGGCTCCGAGCGCGGACCTCGCCCTGCTCGTCCTCCTGCCGGGGGGGGCGCGGCCAGAAGGGCTCCTACCCCAGAGTGCCAGTGGCCGCGCGCGGAGGGGGGCAGGGGAAGGGGGGAAGGCTTCTTAGAAGCACCCCTGCTTCTTGGAAGGCGCGGGCCTTGCCTGTAGATGTACGGCCGGCGCCTTCTACGAAGCAGCCTCCTTCTGAGAAGCCTTTGCCCCTCCCCCTACGTACCCCCTTGTGTACGCCGCCAATGTCACCAGCCTCTCCCGTAGCCCTGGAGCCCCTGGGGCCCTCTGGACCTGACGCGAGGTGCTCGCGGAGGCCTCCCGGGCGACTCCCAGGGAAACCGCGGGGGGCCAGGCACCTCGGTGCAGGACCGTACCCAGACATCTGGCTGCTCCAGCTGTTTTGAGGCGTGGGCCCCGGAAGTCTGGACCACTTCCCCGGGGCCGACATGTCGTCCTGAGTCGTTCTTGGACGGCTCTGGGGCCCGGCGAGGGCCCCCGCGGGCCGAAAAAGGCTCCAAAACTGGGCGCTCCAACTTTTGTCGGGGCGTCGGATCTCTGGGCCTCTGGCTGGAGAAACCAAAGGCACCGATACCACTACTCCCCGGACCTCTCCTGGGGTGCCTTCTGACCAGAAGCTCGCGGCGAACCCAGCGGCTGCGACGAGATCCTCCGAGGAGGCCCCAAAGGGGGAAAACGGCCGAAAGGTAGATAAGGAACCGAACTCTATACACCGGCGCTTTTTCCGGCCCTGCACTGGAACTCGCACAGGAAAGCGGATCCTGGTGTATACGGGATCCTGGTGTATACATTTTCGTTGCTTCCACGGGCCACGGGAAAAAAGTATACACCACACCACCCCGACGTCCTCCCCGACCCTCGAAGAAGTCCTGGGATTGAAAAACCGCCCGCCACTGGTAGTGTATATGCTCCAGTTTCCGAGTAGAGGTACTGCAGGTTCGTGCCGTGTCGACCCTGGCGTTGGTTCCTGACACCGCGCTGGATCGTTCAACCTTGAACGATCGGCCGCTGCCGCAACGTCCGATCGTTCAACATCGATCGATTCTGGGTCGCCGACGGCGTTCAACCTTGAACGCCCGCGCTGGGGTCGCCGCTGGTCGACACGACGCAAACCTACCGGATGGGTACCTCCTCCTCCTCTGACTGGCAGCCCCCGGCTCCTCGCCCTCGCTGCGGCTGCGCTCGCGGGCACGCACGCGCCCGCCTCCTCGCCGCGCCCTCCTCTCGGGGCACGTCGGCGGACCGCCCCACCGACCCTGGGCCCGGCCAGGGTTTTGCTGCAGGGCAGCCAGGCGGCCCCCCCCCCCAAGCCCCAGTGGAGGGGAGGAGGAGGAGGAGGAGGAGGAGGAGGAGGAGGAGGAGGAGGAGAGAGGAGGAGGAGGAGGAGGAGGAGGAGGAGGGGGAGGAGGAGGAAGGAGGAAGGAGGAAGAGAGGAAAGGAGGAGGGGATGGAGGAGGAGGAGGAGGAAGGAGGAAGGGAGGAAGGAGGAGGAAGGAGGAGGAGGAGGAGGACGGAGGGAGGAAAGGGGAGGAAGGAGGAAGGAGGAAGGAGGAGAAGGAGGACGGAGGAGGAGGAGGGGAGGAAGGAGGAAGGAGGAAGGAGGGAGAGAAGAGGGCGAAGGGCGGAGGAGAAGGAGGGGGGGAGGGAGGAGGGAGGGAGGGGGGGAGGAGGAGAGGGAGGGGGAGAGGGGGAGGGACCAGTGTAAACCCAAGATCATTCACGAAGTTGAAATAACCCTCCCTCCAAGCTTCCGTTTCATAGTCGATAGGCCCCTACGGCGGAGCGAGGAGAGGAGGAGGAGGAGGAGGGAGGGAGAGAGGAGGGAGGGAGGGAGGAGGGAGGAGGGAGGAGGGGGAGGACCAGTGTAAACCCAAGAATCATCAACGAAGTTGAAATAAACCCTCCCTCCAAGCTCCGTCTTCATAGGCCCCTACGGCGAGGAGAAGGAGGAGGAGGAGGAGGGAGGGAGAGAGGAGGGAGGGAGGGAGGAGGGAGGAGGTCTTCATAGGCCCCTACAACGGTTCACTTCCATTGAAGGAAATGCCTCGTTGGAAGACAACCGTTCGAAGACCCTGAAGCATGCCAAAACATTGTTCTCGGGATTGCAACGCCACGGATCAACCTGACTGTTGCGTTTTGACGACCCTGAATCGCGCCAGATCGCAATTCTTGGAACTTGAACACCGCGAACCAACGTAAATGTTGCACCCTCATAATACTGAATCCTTCCAAAACACCACTTCTTGTACTTTGATCGTGGAACGCAGTGAAACTCTTGCAAGCATATTAACGAATGTGCGCGGCGCCAAGGCGGGAACCACATTTGAAAAGGAACCTCCTTCAATCCGTGACACTCTTGCAATGTTTAAAACGAATGCGCGCGGCGCTAAGGCCAGAGCCGCATTTTGAAAACGGGTCCCCCTAAATCCATCAAACTCTTGCAAAATGTATTAACGATTGTGCGCGGCGCGACGGCGAGAGCCATATTTTGAAAACGGGTCGCCCCCAATCCGTGAAACTCTTGCACATGTTATTCACGAATGCACGCGGCGCTAATGCGCGAGCCACATTTTGAAAACGGGTTCCCCTCAATCCGTGAAACTCTTGCACATGCTTATAACGAATGCGCGCGGCGCTAAGGCGAGAGCCACATTCTGAGAAAGACCCGCCCTCCATCTGTGAAACTGTTGCAAGTTTTGAAGCTGCAGGGTCATAAATGGTGAAAAAGTCTCAGGCGAGACGCCCGGTCCGCCCTAAAAACTGGCCTCGGGGTGCGACAGTAGGAGGAGGAGGAGGAGGAGGAGGAGGAGGAGGAGGAGGAGGAGGAGGAGGAGGAGGAGGAGGGAGGGAGGAGCAGCAGGAGTATGAAGGGGGAGGGAGTGGGGAGGGGGAGGATGAGGGAGGAAGGGACGAGGAGGAGCGATCCCCAGCCGACCCCCTGCGACTGCGCCGGAGAGGTCGGTGGCGTGGCAGGCTGACGTCCCCCGACTCCTTGCCCTCGAGTCGGAGCCCTCCTCGTCCCCGTCCGCGCGGCGGCTCCGGCTCCGGCTGCTGCTCCGGCCCGCGCTCCGGCCACAGCGGGAGCCAGGGTCGCGGCCCGCATCGCTGCCGTCCTGCAGGGAAGGGAGGTGGGCAACCGCTGCGGGGCGACGGAAGGAAGCGGGGCCCACGCACGAGACATGGCTGACTACCTACCAGACCACCCCAACCCAACCCGAAGACCCGGGTTTCGGGTTGGGGGGGGGTAAGGGTTCCATATGTGTTTTTCCAGTGTTCCCCGACCCCCCCCCACCTGGAAATAGAGGGAAAATTGGGGCCTTCGGGTTGGGTTGAGGTGGTTTGGTGGGTGGTGAATGGCGGCCAAACCCACGGCTTACCAGAGCCGCCAGCGTGGCACACCGCGCGGAGGAGGGGATACTCACGCGCGGCGCGGCCCTGCTCGGGAAACCTACGTGCAAGGGTCCGCGCAGTCGACCCCGTGTCCTGCCGTTGCTCACGTGCACTCTGCACACGCAGGTCAGCTTGATCAAAGCTGGCTGGGGTTCAGACCTCGAGGGATGTCTGAAGCCAGGTGAGCCTCAGCAGGGGGCCACCCACGAGATCTCAACGAACATCCAATAGGCTTCATACCCGCAACCCAGGCACGGTGGCGGGACGGGCCGAGGGCCAATCGATCCGCCGCCCCAGGTTGGCTTGCCACTGGGGCGCCCGGCGTGATGAACTTCTCACGGTTGGGGTTGGGTGCTTTCCAAAAGAGCTCCCCTTTGGGGCTTCGGCCTGTCCCGCCGGCCACCCGGAAAAAAAAACGCAAAAGATCTTCCAAGACGGGCCACGATGCCCTCCAAGAGGGCGAAGATATCTGAAGATGGCCTCCAGGATGCCTCCAAGACGGCCAAGATGGCCCCAAGAGATCCCAACACGGCCCCAAGATGCACCCAAGACGGCTCAAAATGGCCTAAGACGGCCGAAAAGGCCTGCAAACGGACTCCAAGAGGCCTTTAGACGGCCCAAGAAGCCTCCAAGAGGTCCTTCAGGAGGGCCCGAAGAAGCCAAAGTCGTCGATCTGCATTCGGTGTTTCAAGAATTTTGGCGTTTGCTTCTTTTCGGCCTTCCGACGGCCCAAGACGGCCCAAGAGGCCCCCGAGGTCGCCCAGGCTCGCCCAAGAGACCTCCAAGATGGCCCCATGACGGCCTAAGAGGCCTCCAAGATGGCCCCAAGAGGGCCCCAAGACGGCCCACGAGGCCTCCAACACTCCCAAGATGGCCTCTAGGACGGCCCTGAAGCGCCCCAAGAGGGCCCCAAGTCGGTTCACAGAGGCCCCCGAGACGGCTTCCGAGGGTATCAGACGGAATAGGAACGCCCTAAGATGGCAAAAGAGGCCCCCAAGAAGCCCCCAATGGCCCCCAAGAGGCCCAAGGAGGCCCTCAAGAGGCCTCCAAGAGGCCCCTAGGAAGCTCCCAGGAGCTCCCACCAAGAGGCTCCCAAGTGCCCCCCTCGTCCTACTCCTCCTCGTCCTGCTCCTCCTCTTCCTCATCCTCATCCTCCCCGCCGTCCTTCCCCAAGTGTTCCCCGAAGGGTTTGCACAACGGCTGGGGGAACACATGGTCCGATGGCTTAGCCGAGCTCTGACCACAACGTGCGGCCACCTGGGCGATTCCGAAAGACAGGGGGCGGCGGTGATTCGCCGTAGGCGTCTTCGAGAGCCCAACAGGGTGAAGGCAGAGGGGGCGGGCGTCCTCGGAGGGCTCACGGAAGCCTTCTGAGAAGTTGTTTGAGCCTTTGCGCCGGGGTCGCAGCCACGGCGCCAACCTGAGATTTCCTCTCCCTCCTCCTCCTCCTCCTCCTCCACCTCCTCCTCCTCTTTCTCCTCTTTGTTTGAACTAGCAGCATTCGTGTTACTACGATTATTACCAAGACTCGTGTTAGTATGATTAACATGTTCCGTATGGTTCGTCTTCTTCCTAACACTAATACTATTATCAGTACTGTTCCTGTTCTTGTTCAGATACTTGTCTAGATAATAGACGTATGATTAATAATACTCGTCAATAGCAGTGTCATTATAACCCGGATTGGTAACAGTAGTAGTAGTAGTAGTAGTAGTAGTAGTAGTAGCAGTAGCAGTAGTAGTAGTAGTAGTAGTAGTAGTAGTAGTAGTAGTAGTAGTAGTAGTAGTAGTAGTAGTAGTAGTAGTAGTAGTAGTAGTAGCAGTAGTAGTAGCAGTAGTATTAGTAGTAGTACTTGCTCTCAATGTTAATCGTCTGCTCAGTGCTGGTACGCATTCGCATTTGTAGTTCTCTAAAAACCATAGTATCATTCGTCTTCAAATTGAAGTGTTAGTATAGTTGTTGGCACTGGTCTTACTATTTCAGTACTAGTGTATACGCGATCATGTTCGTCTGATTGGTAGTATTGTGACTCGTTGAAATATTAGTATTGGTAAAATTGGTCAGATTCGCATTGTCAGCACTGTGAGGTGCACTGTTCTGCTTAGTAGTGATCTTCGTAATGCGGATAATGCCATCGTTACGAGTGTTAGTGCTACAAGTACACTCATTAATTGTGGTATGGTTTTCCTCTACGTTTTCCTTTTCCAATTCCTCATCCTCATCCTCCTCCACCTCCTCCTCCTCCTCCTCCTCCTCCTCATCATCATCATCATCATCATCATCATCATCATCATCATCATCATCATCATCATCATCATCATCATCATCATCATCATCATCATCATCATCATCATCATCATCATCATCCTCATCCTCATCCTCATCCTCATCCTCATCCTCATCCTCATCCTCATCCTCATCCTCATCCTCCGCCTCCTCCTCCGCCTCTTCCTCCTCCTCCTCCTCCTCTTCCTCCTCCTTCCGTCTTCCTCCCTCCTCCCTCCTCCCTCCTCCCTACTTCCCGCCTCCCTCCTCCCTCCCACCTCCTCCCCCCTCCCGTCTCACGCAGCCACCAAGAGAACTCCCCACCATGCGCCCCCGCTGCCCTGCTGCCCCGCTCTCACGCCCGCCTGCACCGCCGGCCAGCACGCCGCCAGCGCTCAGCAGCCGGTGCCGAGCCGAGCGCCCGGAGGGCCAGTCCCCCCAGCGCCGCCAGGGTCGTCTGCGCGACGTGGCGGACGACTTCCGCCTCCAGGGCCGCGCGCAGCTGCCGGACGCTCAGCGTCGCCGCTCGGCCGCCCCCCAGGCGGGGCCTGCCGTACTCGCAGCTCTCGCGGTGGAGGGCGAGAAGCGACTCCAGCGCGCCCACGCCCACCCGGCCGCCCTGCTCGGTGGCGAACGGGAGGACGGTGCTCCAGTAGCGCTGGACCTTGTCCTTCTCGCCTTCCCGCGCTGCAACCCCAGGCACAGCGTGCGGGCTTGTCAGGCCTGCGGCAAATGGGGAGCGGACGGCGACGTCGATCCCGAAGCGCCGGCTTCCGCCCAGCCACCACCCAACGAGGTCCACGAAGCGTTCGTGGATCACGCCGTCCTCGTGGACGTGGTACAGTTCCAGGATGGCCGCCTCCAGCTCCACCACCGCCCTTTTGGACTTCAGGTGCTCGGTCAGCACCGCGGCGGCGGCCGTGTGGCACCGCAGCCGGCCCGCACCAGTGCGGCAGACGGTGGGATGATGCAGGCGGAAGTCAAGTGCAACGCCGCAAGGTTCATCATCACCACTGTTCTGCGTTGCGCTGGTCATGCCAACATGCGGTGCCTGGAGCACTCCAAGCCGCCTCCAGGTGCCGTCTCCCTCCTCCCTCCTTCCTCCTCCCTCCTCCCTCCTCCCTCCTCCTCCCTCATTCCTCCTCCCTCCTCCCTCCTCCCTCCTCCCTGCTCCCTGCTCCCGCCGCACGCCTCCCTCCTTCCTCTTCCTTCATCCCTCCCCCCTCCTCCATCATCCCTCATCCCTGCTCCCTCCTAGCTGCTCCCTCCTCCCTCCTCCTTCCTCCCTTTCTCTCTCCCTCCCTCCTCCCCTCACTCCCTACCTCCCTCCTCCATCCTCTCTCCTC